TGGGTGGCTCAGTCATTAAGCGTCTGCCTTCAGCTCAGGTCATGATCCCAGGGTCCTGGGATCGAGCCCCGCATCGGGCTCCCTGCTCCGCAGGAAGCCTTCTTCTCCCTCTCCGACTCCCCCTGCTTGTGTTCCTGCTCTCACTATCTCTCTCTGTCAAATAAATAAAATCTTAAAAAAAAAAAAGAAATGAAAATGTACATTGTATGAACAGATTTCACAATGTTGAATTCAGCCTGACTTAAAAGAGTACATATTGAATTCCATTTATATACAGTACAAAAAGAGGCAAGACCAACCTATCATGTTCAAAGTTCAGTGTAGTGGCTATCTTTCAGGGCTAGAGGAGGGTGGTGACTTGAAGGGAGCACAAGGGGGACTTCTGAAGAGGGATAGTGTTGTTTCTTCATCTGGGTGCTAGTAACATGAGTATGTTCAGTTTGTGAAAATTCAAAAAATAGTATGTGCATTTATTTACTTGTAAAATCAGCATTGCTAACCAATACTATTTGGCTGTTCTGCATTCACAGCATCAAAACACAGACCAAAATGCACCGTTTTTTATTATAATGCTTCATTTTATTTTCTGAGACAACTCCACCTGCCTATCTGGTCTCATTCTCTCCCCATCAGCTATGTATTCCTCTTTCCTTCTATCTTCAGTTTTTCTTCCTACTCACATTTTACCTTTTTTTCCTACAAATATAATTAGGTGTCTAGTATCTTTAAAAAAACAAACACCTTTCAATCCTGTTGCCTAGTCCAACCAAGTGTTCTTTCTTTTTCCTTCTTGCAGGATCGCATTTCTCAGAAGGAATTATCACCTGTTTTAAGTGTCTTATCTTACAAGTACATTCCACAGGTAACATCTCTCAAGCTCTTCGTCTACCCCTCCCCTTAATTCCAGCATCACCTTAGCTCTTGCCTCTTCCAGTTCTCTGCCCCATCTGCTGGTCACCTGTTCTCTCTCCTGATACACTCTTGACTTTTATGATGTTTGAACCATCTGGGCTTTCCTCCTCCAAGAAGCTTCTCTTCTCTATCTGTTCTTGCTCTTCCCACCCACAAACTTTGGTATTTTATAATTTCCTGTTTATTTTCCATAAGATCTCCCTTGGTGATGTCATGCCCTTCTCCATCTTCAATCATATTTTCAGATACGACCAAATCCTGCTAAGTTCACGTTTCTAAACGTCTGTTCTCTTTTCCTTATCTGTTTTGCCCTTTAATCCACTCTACACAGTATGTCGGACACCGCCCCGAAGTACAGTTCTTGCCATGTCACATGTAAATGGCCTGCACTGATTACTAAAGGCATTTCTAATTCCCCGATCCTGGCATTTGAAACTCCAAACCTGACCCCACAGCATCCCTCAGCCTAGGTTCCAGCCAACGAAGATGCTGGGCTAATTCCTCAGCATGCCCTAAACTTCCCATTGCTGTGCTCTCCCTCAGGCCACTCCTCTAAGTCATCATTTTAGTCGTTGGGCAAGACTCAGCTTGAGTAGCTCCTTCTACGAGAGAAAATTATTCTGAGTCTGTCCCGCTCGGTTTCGGCCCTCCTTGCCCTTGCCCACGACGGCAGGGTCGATCCTTCGCCTTGCACTCTCGCCGAGCCTGGGCTGGGCCCTTCCCTCAACCTCCACGCACTCCTCCCGTTAGCTTCTAGAACTGTCACTAAAGACAGCGTGTTTGTGGTGTACGAATGTGGTCTTGTCCTCCTCTTCCCCAAATTTACAGAGGGAGAGTTCTATTTTTATCTCCTTGGGGTTACACCAGACGCGCGCTCTCTATATATTTCTTTTTTCCTCCTTCCGTCGCCTGTCAACCATTTTGAATCGGGGCTGTCCCCACCAAGTCCCACCCGGAGACACACTGCCCCCAGCTTCGCACCCCTCCTCCCAAGCCCCTGCGCCCCGCGCCGGCCACAGAGCTGCAGTCCTCCGGGCTTCCTAGAGGGGCGCGCCCGCCCGCACTTCCGGCGCGCTCGGCCGGAGGCCGTTCTGCTCCCTCCCTGGGGTCGGTGCGGCAGCCAGCCGAGCGAAGGGTGAGTGAGGCGATCCGGCAGCGCGGCCCCGGTGCTTCCCAAACCGCCCCCGTCGGGCCTCAGTCCTCCCCGCCGCTTTGCCTCACCCTGTCCCTGCCACAGGCAGAGCCTGCGGCTGTACTAGGTGGCCGCCCCTCCTCGACGCTTCCGTCCGGCAGTCGGTCCATTTCTTCCTGCATCTGTCTGTTTGCCTGCTCATCCACCGCCCTAGCGTCCTTTGACTTCGCAAGCGCTTACCGGGCGCCTCCTGTGTGCCAGGCCGCAGGCTGAGGAGTCGGCGATGAACTGAGGCGACCTTTCCTCCCACTTCTTATGCGGCCAGAGCTCGCTCTTGAGTCAGGTCTCAGCTGTTCGTCTTGACTTCCCCGGTCTAGGTTCGACCCTCGTAGCCCTTTCTACTTTCCCCTTTGTAGTTCTTATCAAGACTAAGTTAGGTAATTCTGTGGCCTTTCTGTTTAACCTCTGCCTCCCTACTAAAATTTTAAGTTATGTAATGGCAAGGACACTGTCTTGTTTATAACTCTTTGCTCAGTGCCTGCATAAAGTAGGCATTCTGTAAATATCGTTAAGGAAATGTGTGGAAAAACACAGGACCTCGAAAGGGCCATTGGTTTGGTGGGGAAGGCATTTCAGCAGAGTACATATCTAAGAGCATGGACTCTGGAGTCAGACCATTTTGTTTGAAAACAGTCCAGACTACATCACTTCCAAACCATGGGACCTGAGACAAATTATGTAACTTCTCAGTTTCTGTTCAGTAAAACAGTAGAACCTAGACCATAAAGTGCTGCGAAGATGAAATGAACAGGTAGACCATGCTCATTGTACAATAAAAGCTCAATTAGAGCTTTCTGTTAAAATTAAGTAAGCAAACAATGCAGATACATTATAATAACAGCTATACTGAAGGAAGCAGTTTTGTCCAAAAGTGCCCTGGAGGTTCTTGGGTTGCTTGGACTAAGAGCTAGCTGGGACCAGGCTCTCACCTCCCAGAGGGAAGGGCCATATCTAAGCTCAGTTCTTCCAGCCCCGCCCCCCCACCATGGGTTCCCTAGACAACTCTAAACACTGACACTTGCAAACACAATTCTGGTCCCAAGCAGTCGACCTATGGCCCCCACTGACAAGGCTGCTTTCTCACATTTATGCTCTAAGAAGGTAGATGGAGCTCTTCCCTGAAACAGCAGCACTTCTCTCCAGAATTCCCTTTTGTGGGATAATGGAGGAATCGCAGGACCTGTGCTCATGTTACTGATCCCTAGCTGGTAAGTTTCCCCAATAAAGCCTATTCTATAATCCATGCCTTGTGATGTGGAATTTGCCTTTCCCTTGCGCCATTATCTACCATGCATTGAGAACCTGTTCTGGGCCAAGTGTTTTAAAATACGAGTTTTATTATTAGTTAGATTTGGTGAGGCCAACAGATAGGAGATGATCGCCATTCAAAAGATAGTTTGTTATTCATAGTTTCCAAGAGGAGCAGGCATGCCATGCCCCATGTGGTCACATGGCAAAATCACAGGATCAGTCAGGAGGCCAGGTGAGGGGAAAGTGGGCAGGAGTCTTTACTGGGTTTCTGTGGGAAGGACTGGGTGAGGCAGGGTCAACAGGCTTAGGATTGGCTAGTTTAAATAGTTTCAGTGGGCTCTGAGGCATAGATAAGCTCTCTGTCTTGTCCCTAATTTTCTGGCATCTGGCCCTGGGTGATTAGGGCAGGGGAATGGTGGCCCTGGATGTGAAAGTCCAGGGCAGGAGGTGGTGCGGTGTGGGCTCTGGGTTGGGTAGTTTGCAAATGAAAAGCACACTTGTAGGTGAGTTTATTATCTCTAGGAATCTGCTAGCCCTGGGAAGGACAGTCCCTCCGGTGTAAGCAAGGCCCAGATGTCAAGACACCAGGATAAAAAGATACGCTTAACATACTAAGCACTACTCCAGATGTCTTATTACTTCCAATTCCTTTAATAACAGTGCAATGAAAGTGTTATTAACTCCATTTTTAGGAGAGGAAATGGAATCTTGGGTTTGGTCGGTGACTACTGTCACACAGCTATTAAGATAGTAAGAAGCTGCACTATGATTCCAAACTGTTGGGGCACTTGACTCCAAAGCTGGTGTTCCTCCTGTGAGCTAAGTCATCTTTCTGCTGTATGAGAAGTGCCATGGAAACATCTTTCAGTCCTTATTAGGCATTTGATAGTGTTGACCACTACCTCTTTGAAACTCTTCCCCCCGCCCCGCCGCCACTATAGTGGTATTCATTCATGTATATGTGGCACCTACTCTGTGCTGTGCAATGGATTGGGTGATAGAAAATGGTGAGCAAAAATGTTGATGTAACTTAAGTTGAATCATGGAGAAGATAGGTATTAACCCAATAGTTCCACCAAAGTATATAAGCTGACAATGAGAGCGGTGCTCTGAGAGAAAGGAACATAATTCTCTTACGACTCCTCGACCGACCCAACCCTGCCTGCACATCAGAATCACTTGCAGAATGTTTTACAAATATAAAACTGAGGTTCTGACTCAGGCTGGGGCGCAGCTCAGGCATCTGTAAAACGAGATAAGTACGACCAAAGAGATTAGCTAAGGACTTTTGATTTTTTTCCCCCTGCATTTGCTTTTTAAAAACTGGTCAGAGGGGGCGCCTGGGTGGCTCAGTTGTTAAGCGTCTGCCTTTGGCTCAGGTCATCATCCCAGGCTCCTGGGATCGAGCCCCGTATTGGGCTCCCTGCTCAGCGGGAAAACCTGCTTCTCCCTCTCCCTCTGCCGCTCCCCCTGCTTGTGTTCCTTCCCTCTCGCTGTGTCTTTCTCTGTCAAATAAATAAAATCTTAAAAAAAAAAAAACTGGTCAGAGGAACAGGGTCAGATTTGCAATTTGAAAAGGTCTCTCTGGTTACGGTATGAGCAGACTGTTAATGTATAGTGGGACAGGATAGTTACTGGGATGAAGATGGTGGTGGCAGAGATGGGGAGGGGCAGATTCTGGAGACAGGCAATAAAATCAATAGGACTTAATTTGCATTAAATACAGAAAGGAGGTGTTAGGGATGCTTCCAGGTTTCTAGAAGTGCAGCCAGATGGATGTTCCTCCTTCCCGAGAGGGGGCCACTGGGAGAGGAGCAGAATTGGAGTGGGAAGAATCATCAGTTGGTCATGGATGTGCTGTTTGAGGTCCTTTTGAGAAATTCAAGAGGCGTTATGGGGATAAGGAACAGTGGGTAAAAAGGGCTGGTGCTCAGATGAGAGGTCCAGAGTAGAGAGGCCTGGAAGACAGTGAAGACAGTGCCAGACTTAAGGGCTAACTTATGGAACTCTGATGTAGAAGAGGGTGGGCCTGTGAAGGAGATGGAAGAAGGAAGAGAGACAATGCTTTATGATGAAACACTTCCCTTCAGCCACATACCCATGGAAGATAAGTTGGTGAGGCATAATATTTATAATAAAAATTTAGTATCACAAACATATTGAAATTAAAGGGCAAGATCCATGACATAGACCAGTGATCACTAAGTAAAGCACACATACCTACGTGATATGTGATCCGTGTGATGCTTGGTAAATGCTATATACACAGTAATGCATAGATCCAATGATGTTTTGTTATGGGATTTCTTAAATGCCAATTATCATAAATAAGAACTAAAGAAATTTATTCATTATTTTTCAAATACTAAAAAATTAAGAGGAAAATTTCCCCAAGTTTCTCAGTGTTTAGGTGTGTATGGCAAAAACACAGTTTAGGAAATGCTGCTTTGTAAATAGCTCAGGTCTAACTTTATCATAAATCACTCAGGAAATGATTCCACCATCCTTTCAGTCGCCAGCACCGGGCAAAAACCTGTCCTTGACTCCTCTTCCAAATCCTTATCCAGTGTGTCCCTAAGTCCTGTCAGATCTCCCATCTTGATCTTTGGCTCCCATAGCTCAGGCCCTCCTCGCCCAAATGGTTGCCACAGACCCCTTCCTGAGTGGGCAGACAGACCGTCCAGCCATTCCTGTGGCTATGGGGCTCAAATCCAAACTCTGCAGTACAATCTTTCAGACCCTTGGCCTACTATCCCTCTGTAAGTGCCTCCTTTCTCACTATTCCTGAACTATGCCGCAGGCTCTGGCCCGTTTCTGTTGTTTTGTTTTTAAACATGGCTTCATATCAGAAGCATTTGGGGCACTTACTGAAGTCTCCCCCACAGAGATTCTGACTCAGGAAGTCTATTGTGGGGTCCATGCTCCATGGCTGATTCTGAGGCAGAGGTGACAACCACTAGTCTGGCCTCCCTAACCCACCTGCAGCTCCCCCAATGGGCCACATATTCTCCTACCCACTGTTGTCTTTGCCTGAATGACCTGACTTGGCATCTTCACCTGGCTCGTTCTTTTTTTTTAAAGATTTTATTTATTTGA